TATGATGAAATAAAAATGTAGAACAAGCTCTATCATTTCAACTCTCAAACTGCAGTTTCAAGATGCAAAATGATCACTGAGGTTTAAGTGAAGTTTCCTGAGAGGTGAAGCACTGACAGATTTAATAGTTCTATCTATGAAGTATCTCAAGTTTCTGTTGGAAGCAATCAGGCTTCAATCAAATGGCATAATAATGAGATGAAGAAACGGGTACCATATCTTGGAATGTAACACTCTCAATTTCTAAGCACTACCTATATATGAAACCCCTTTTAACTAGAAGAATAAAGATCTGTCACTAAAAATGCTTGCCAGAAAAAAATCATTTGCTTTAACTAATTGATATGTTCTATTTTGCTGCCTTTTTTTAATAAAAAAAGACATCACACATGCAATTCACTCTATTATCATGTAACTGGCAGTAAATTAGAAAATTAAACTTATCAGACATATGGAGATGTAGATTGAAAGTTTTCAGAAACTGACAAGCTAGTAACAACCCAGATTGTAATTAAGAAGTACAGAAATCTTGAATCAAGAGACATGGATATTTGTTGCCATTTAAATTAGCAGATTCATTAAAAATAAAAAAAAAAAGAAAATTAAAAATCACACAATAAAACACTGGCAGGATGATTTCATACCTCAGAAATAAAACAAACTACATTAAATCTGATGTGACAAAAAAAGAAACCAATGAAAATTTACATTTTTGGTCTTATTATTAACTTCTTCCTCCTAATGTTTTCATTTGAAACATTGCTATCTAAGTTCCATTTCTAAAAAGCACAGAGAATGCAAACATAGCAATCTCCAACTTTAATTGTTCACTAACTTTTTATGAAGTCTACCTTCCCCTTTTCTTCCACCAACCTCATAATTTGCTATATGGCAAGTGTATTTTCTAAAGATTTTTCAAATGTTATCTGATTTTCCTTCACTGCTATTCTTATATTCCTCTCTTAGATTTTGAATTTCAAAATAATAATTTGATATTTGATACTGAATCTAAATATCCCAGTAAATACCAGGGATATTATAACTCTGCTCATGGGAAGGGACATATAACTGTACAGTGAACAATTTTTACTTCCATTAGATACTTTCTGCATGCTGAGCAATGACTACATTTTGAAAAAAAATTGTCACATTTGAATTAGTTCTCGACATACCTCTGACAACTATGAAAACAAAAATTTGTATTCATTGCTTCCACAGATTTCATGGTTGAAGGAAATCAAAGCTATTCAATACAACAGAAAACAAGTGTTGGAAAGGATATATCTCCTGAAGTCAACAGGATTCTTAATTTCAGTTATCTGCTCCTTAGAAGCTATTTCTTCTTCAATATAAAGAAATTTCCAAGCTCAAATGTCTTGCCCTTGTAACAAGTTATGCGAATGCACAAAGCAAGTTGACTATATATATATATGCATATAATTTCTTTTTTCTGTTTAATGAACAACAGTGTAATTTAGAATTTATATCAAGTTGGACACTAGGTAAGGAAATTTCTTTTGAAAAATGAAAATTAAAACATTTATGGAGATTCAATGAAGCAAACCATTTCCATGAAAATATATTGATTTTCATTAAAATGCTGTTGTGAATACAACTGTGAATGACTTTCTACTTAAAAGGAACCGGTGGAGAAAAGCTGTAAGACATTTGCCAGGTACAATGCAATAACAGAGCTATAGTTTTATTGCTTCTTTTTTTAATGAATCAATGAATTTATTTTCAGCTATGTAATTAACTATGAAGCAAAATTATTCAAAGATGAGATTTGAGTCATATATTAAAATTACTACACATTTGATTGCATAAGCTACACCTATAAATCTATTTTTGCAAGATTATTTGAAAAACTTTGTCTTGCTCTCCATTTCCCACCAGTGTAGAACTTTTATTTCTTTGAGTGTTTTTATCTCAAAAAACATTATAGTACAGCACTTTTATTTCTGGTCAGGCCTATTTGTATAGAAATAAATTAAGGTTAGTTGAATAAAGAGTATTATTTTTGGTTTTGACAGTTCTTGGCTACAATGTTGAAGAGACATACAGTGGGGTCAAAACTTAATGTATTAGTAGATGTAAAGAGCAAAACGAAAAGCAGACAATTTCAGTCATTACCCTCATTTTTCTTTACTTTGGGGACCCTTATATCTACTCCATTTAGCTTTGTTATTTGTACTCTATTAAAAAAAGTCATGAAGATTAGCATTCTAGAACTGACAATTCAGTCAGTCAGTTATAAATCCCTATTAAATGAACTGATATATTATTAAAATATTTTGGTAATACAGTGCTAAATATCCTGAAAGTAACTTAATCTTTCTAATGCATTTATAATCATAGTATTATTTTACTGTTCAAAAGCTGTTAGAGTTCTCTCAAATGCTGTCAGAGCTCCCCCTTCATCCAAGTTTTCTCCCACTAAGTGCTTTTGACATCAGAGATGTTAATTTCCTAGCAATTCCACAATTAATATGATACATACTTTAAGTAAATATTTAAGACAGTAAGCCAAGAAAAATTCAATTCACTCGTTTCATGTTTCACATTTTCAAAGACAAAAATTATTTTCTCTTTTGAAAACTGAAACCCTGAAACTTTGAAAGCTGTATTCATGAATATGTTACTCTGCTTGCATGGTAAATTTTTACAATCAAACAATTCACAGTATGCCAGTTAAGAAAGTACTATTACTTCCTATTCACAGCAGGCTTTTGTCATGACACCTTGGAAGAGGATTCACAGGACAAGAATTTGAGATCACTTGCAACTCTTAAAGAAAGCATCCTTAAAAGCTTTAAAGAAAGGGCCTTAAAGTCCTTTTGAAAGAACAAGAACTTTTTAAAAAAGAAATGTGGTTTTTCCATCCTGTTTTTAAAGAGGGTGTCCCTTCAAATCCTTTGCATAAGACTGGAGGAGTTTGTTATTAAACTCCCTCTTTCCCTACTTAATGTTTGCTTTAATCACAGTCCACACTGATCTCCTGGAGCCTGAAGGAAAAAATAATGGTTTCTGTCACAGAGGTGATGCATCTGCTCTTTGCCTGTGCTCATCACTTTCCTATCCTTTCTTCACATCCCAAGATTCTGCTGTTCCAAGGTATCTTCCCTGCACTGTTGAAGTTTTTCCTGGCTATGCAGGAAACCACTTTTCTCATATGCAGATTCCCCCGATTGAGAGTGCTGTACTCAAGACAGGCAGTAAGGTACTCTTTCCCCACTCCCAACTGGTCTTCTGCACCCTCTAGCACAAAACAGTAAGTCAAATAGATGTGAGCTGACTCACACCTAAATGAAGTAACACGATGCCTATGAAAATGTCATGCACCATGAAGCTTATCTGTTAGAGTTATGTTTTCATTGAATCAGAAAAAAAATATTGTAATTTCACTGCTGATTAGATGTATTTGTTTTTCATGCAAAGAGAACATATGACTATTGTGCATGCTTGCAAATGCCATTGCAGTTAAATCACAGTGTGCTTATTAATTACAACTGACATCATTTTGGATCTGCCATCTTTTGTTGATGATTTTCCCATTACACATAATTCAGATTTTAGATCTGAGCATTAAAAAGAATAATAGATTATATACCTAATATCTCAGAAATGGGCACAGATCTTTGTGGACCTTGTGATATGTCAGATATGTATTAGTCACAAGTCTTCAAATGTATTATAATGAGTAATTTCATTCACCCAAAAAATATTTCAGTAAGTTGTTTTAAAGAATAACAAGATTTTTTTTTAATCAATGTTTTTGTCTATTTTTTATATTTTTCATTATACCGCTTTTCACTCACAAAAAACCAAAATAAATCTGAAAATATGAAAGTAATCTATAAATATAAAAAAATTACAAAAAGATTGAATTCTTTCAAAATGTATCTGTTCAATTCTAATGCAATCTCATTCCAAAGTAGATCAGATGAATGCTGCTCTGACAGCTTATTTCTCTCCACTGACAGATGAAGGTTAAACTGACTAGCTTGGATCTGGAAAGCTACAATTTAAATTAATAAATACAAAGAAACCATAGAACTAAGCTCAAGAAGTGCAAGATGGGTATAACTACCTGAACTGCAGTGGTAAGAAAAACACAGTTAAATCTGTGAAATACAACATGTTATTAGCTATTGTAAAGAATAAAAAAAATAAGGACATAACTGCTGAACAAGAGAAGTAGATTCAATGAAATGTGCTCTATTACTTCAATAATAACTTCAGTATAGACCTTAAGGGACCATTATTTCTCAGAAATGATAAATAATCGACTATTTCTGCAAGTTTAATTTCATGAGCCAGATGTTTTTAATTTTGTCAAAGTATGAAGAATCAAATGACTACCAATATGATTTAATTTCTGAAAAAGTAGCATATTTTGCTTCACTGATTCTGATTAATTTTTAGTATTAATACCATACCTGCACCGTCAGATAAAACTTGAAAAATTTTAACTATTATCAGATAAAATTCCTTATTTCTAGAACTCTTTGTCTTAATCTACTTCACAGATGACTAAATGGAGGGATAATCCTTGATTAAAAAAACCCCACGACCCAACAAAACTTCTCTTGATATTGTTCCTATGCATTACAATGACAATTACAAAGCTTTCCTAAAGCTAAACTAAAAGAAAGGGATTAAAAAGTATTCTCATGATTTACATACACTCTTACTATTCTTACCTGTATGTGATCATGCATCTAAATAAGACATATGCTGTTCTGACCTAGCAGACAGTGCATCCATCATAGAAGGTTAATTCTTCACTAGGAAGTAAAGTTATGAGAACTTCACTAGAAGTTATCAGAATTAACCTTCATAGGAATCACCATTTCTATGGTTTCAAAAGGACCACTTATGAATAAAGTTCCATGGAAGTACAGAATAATTTCAAGCCAAAACCAAAAAAGGTATTTTTACTTATAGAGGATATATAGTATTCACAAGATTATAATTTAGATACTCCAAAACTGTCTTACCATGGTGTAGTTGTGAGCCACCTTCATAAGCTCTGTGCATCCTTGTGCATCAGCAAATGCTCGTATTCCCAAACAGTTGGATGGGTGCAAAAGCTTCATTAGAAAATGGCAGCAAACTTCTACTACTTGAGGAAGCTGGAGGAGGCAGGCAGCTGCTAGAAGATTTTCAATGGTATCTTCTTTCAGTTCCAGGCAGCCTAAAAAAAAGGGTTGGTAACACATGCAAACTTATTTACTTGGTATTTACAAAACATGCAGTATTCAAAAGATATTTTTAAAAATAATCATAGTTCTATATAAATAAATCTACAGAAAAAGTGAAGAAAAGAAGGATTAGTCTCCCTGACTGAACATCTCAGGGACCTGAACATTACAGTATTAAAAACATTTCTTTTTAAACTTCTATTAATTCAACTATATAATAGGCATACAAAGAGAGACTGTAGAGTGTGGAATGGAAGAGAAGACTTAGGAATATCAACCGGGTTGTGGATGTTTTTTTTGTTGTGTTTCTTTTCTTTTTTTTTTCCACTGAAGTTGGTGATAAAACTTGTATTATGTTCAGTGGCACAGAGCAAACTTCAAAATAATTTACTTCCCTGAAAAGAATGAAATAACTTCCTAGTATAGTATGAATAAACCCATAAATCACAGAATCTGCTGATTTGGAAGGGACCCACAAGGATCATCGAGTCCAACCCTTAGCCCTGCAAAGGACCATCCCCAGGACTCAAACCATGTGCCCAAGAGTATCATTCAAATGCTTCTTGAACTCTGTCAGGCTTGGTGCTGTGACCACATATCTTCAAATAAGGCTTACAATCTTCCAACTTGGTGTTGCTCATTTGTAATGTGACTTTGGGGTTAATTTTATCTGAGAAACATATGGCAGGCTTCTCATAGCATATCGTTCTTCTAAAATAATTTATATTAGTGAAAAGTACACATATGCATGCCTAATACTTATCTTCCATTAAATCATACTTATATTGTACTTAATTCTGTAATTTCACAAGTCAGTATCTTTACCTTGCAGATTGATGCACTTTTTAACAAATAAAAGGTAAAATAGAATAAAATAAACTTTTAAAAATCATTTTTTTATTGAGAAATATGTAATTCTTGTTATAATGCTCCCTCCCAACCAAAATTTTTATTTTTTTTTTCATTAGTATCTTATAAATCTCTTGCATTAACAACTTAAGAAATCATAAATTAAAGATTACAAGGATGACTTGTGGAACTGGGAAAAAAAAGTATAGGAAAATAAAAAACTGCAATTATAAATTGTAAACAACACTTCTGATTTTATTTTGCTGTACTTGGAAAATCATCTCAAACTATAAGAGGATTAAGTGTATATAGATCTTTCTCTTCAAAGTGATATAGTTCAACACTCAGATAAACTCCTTTTTTTCTCTCCACACAAACTTTGTATCTGTTGTCACATAAAAAAAACCCCACCTACAAATCTTAACAGTTCTATCTCATGGCACTAAGGAGTTCTAAAGCCACCAACTTCACAACAGTATGCCATTGAAAAGCTGCTTTATATTGCAATACCAAACCCAAAATACAGTAACATTAACACTACACATCTGATCTTTTCTACTTTCACTTTATCTGGAGCTTTTAATACATGATGGAAACTGAACTTATATTTTACTGGATGTAGTGATAATACATCCTTTTGCAATCCTTTGCATTGGATCAAGTGCACAGCCTGATTTCAGTGGTTTTCCTCTGCTTATTTTTATGCTTCTATTAATGTCACGTGAGCTTCTCTTTATGTTATCTGGCAGTTTCTCAGAATTTCTGTCCACCACACCTTTATGCAATGTGGTCAGAAAGCACACTCAGCAGCAGATTCTTGGGTGACCTCCAATCAATTTAGCAATGACATTCCCACATTTGCTACATGCTTGCAGGTAATGACTAGCTCAACATACAATCTATTATCTTGAAGATGGTTTCATTGTGTCAAGTGGAATATATCAGAAGATAGTTGTTTTCATGTTAAAAATTATCACCCTGGTACCAGAAGGCAGAAAATTAAAAATTTGCAAAACACCTGTGAAAAGGAGATGGACTGAGAAATGGAAAAAAAAAATTAAAAAAAAAGGAGTCCTCGATCTCCTTTACTTATGTGTTATTTATTTTTCAACAATGAGCTCAGTAAAGTCTCTGGCCCTATAAAACCGATCCAGATATCATTTGCAAAGTGATGTAAGTATTGAAAGAATGACCATCATTTTGAGGAAAGGTAACGGTATAGCTACCATAGTTCGGCTTTTTATCACTGAATGTAGCTACCCTTAGGAGAAGAGCACAAAGGAATCAGTTGAAGCCACATCAATCTATTTGTTTTCAAATTGAAGATACTTTCTGTTAACTTTAAGGTAGACTAGTCCTGGTAGGCTACTAGTTGGGAAATAGTAGAATTAAACTAAGTTTAAATCAATAAAAATCATTATCTGTTCTATAAATTACATATTTCCTTATGCAACCAACATGGTTATTTTGAAGAAGATCCTTCACATTTTTATGAAAGAGTGTAAACACATTTCTGCCTTACACATTAATAGAGGATGTAAATATAAAATGGCTTCTGGGGTATCTAGGTATATAAATATATTATAGTTTGACTTATTTTTAAATAAATTCAGAAATACTAATTTACTGCTTACTATTTACTATGATAAGAGCAAGAAAAGTACACTCAATATGAGTTAAAGAGTTTATTGTTCTTCATTCTTTAGGCTTCAATCATAGATAAGTTTTTAATCCATCTAAATATTTTCCAAGTCTTTTATCTTCTTTTTTAAGCATCAAGACACCTTCATAAATTTTTTCACAAGGGCTGTATTCACTTTTTCAGAAGAATGCTATGACATTTTTATGCAAATTGCTCTGGGATATCAAGTGTTTAGTATGGTCAGAGTTTGAAAAAAGAAAGTTGTTAGGAAGCTCTGAATATACAATCTTCAGACAGTTTCATACTGGCAATTAGAAGATGCAAGTATCTATTTAAAAATGATTAATAGGATATTCAAGGGGGCATTAATACTATTGCTTCTTCAATTCACCTCCCCCTCATATTTTTATGCAATAAGTAGCTTACACAAGTGTGTCAGTCTGGGAAAAACAAGTTAACCAGAGTTTTAAATCTTCTTTTGTATTAAATTAATTAAGATGAAAAAAATATGAGGAAAAAACAATCAAAAGAACTTTTATGTATTCTAATTGTTATTCTAAATTATAGATTTATTTGTGACAAATTTTGTGTGCATTCCTTACGCAGAAATTAAAATGCCTGTCTCTAGCATGCATTCTCATAATGAATGCATGCTGACCACCCTTGGATGATGTTAATAAGGTCAGTGTTTCACAGCTATTGACCAATAGGTGGGACCTGTGGTGGGACCACTCAGTAGGTATTGCTCATTTGCTCTGTGCATAAGCAACAAATTTTCATCCAAATTTTTCACACATCATAATATCATTTTACCTCATGTGCACAGTAATTTTTTTTCTCTCTTGTAATTACACACATCCATTCATAGCAAGACTATTCAACATTCTTAAGATACCTGTGAGTAAGGGTGTAACAGTGAAGTCATTGGAAGTGTCAAGGAATTAGAAACAAAGGCTAGAACTAATTCTTTGTAATCAGATATTTAAAATTTTACCTTTCTATTTCATGTGTCTTGATCAACTGTGTTGCAGTTCTGAAGTGCTGCTGAATGGAATTATTTCCATAGGCTAACCAGTTGTAGGAATGCAGCTTCTCTATTAGGTGTCATTTTTTTAAAAATAAAGGCAGTAAATGGTATCAAGATAATATTTATTCAGATTTTTGCATAGTAGATAAATTGCTTACAATTATGACTACAAGAAATAACTTTTTTGAAGAAGCATCAAATGCCAGTGAACACTTGAAAAAGTTTATAAAAAAAGGTAATATACTTCTTATTGCTACAATAGGCCTTTCTGCCATTGCTTATCATTAATCTTTCCAAGTCTTAGGTTCTTGTCAGGTAGCCACCTGAGCTAATCACTCCTTTTACAGTCCACGGAGAGAAATATGAGGTGTTTCACCTGTCCTGTTTTAGTCGTGTACTTCAGAATGAGATGAATCACTCTGAATGGCTATTTCTTGTTTTCAGCTACAAAAAGAGCACCTTCATTTGATTTACTGAGATGCTGCTGATATTTATATTTGTTGATATGAACTCAGGGCATCTGCTCCCAAACACAATAGCTGAATCATCAAAATCATCAGGTTTCAGGTGATGAAATGCTCTTTGGTTTGATCAGTTCTCTCTGTTACTGTCAACTCCTGGTAATGACATAGTGTGTAAAATCACCTCTTATGTCTATTCATGAATATCAGTCAGTGAAGAATGCTACAAAAAGTATTTTCCCTTAGCAGAACATCTTTTAGTCTCCAGGTGATTTCTAAAGGCAATGTTAAGGTTTTGATTTTGACCTATGCCTTGAAAGGTAAGTTCTACATTGTATCATTTTCCATACTTTTCATAAAGGTGAAGTTGTTTTCAGAACAGAAAACAGGACACAATATATTCGCTTTGCAGAGGTTTCTCCTGATCAAACTTTTTTTATTTTCTATTAATTACTTGCTGCAGACCACATTCATCAGTTGCAAGTGAGGAAGATAGGCTGATTGTGTTTATTTAGAATCATAGAATGGGATGGGTTGAAAGTGACCTTGCAGATCATCTAGTTCCAGCCCCCTTGCCATGGGCAGGGACACCTTTCACCAGACCAAGTTGTTCAGAGCCCCATCCAGCCTGGACTTGAACACTGCCAGGGATGGGGCAACCTGTTCCAGTTCCTCAACAACCTCATAGTAAAGAATTTCTTCCTGTTATCTGATCTAAAGCTGCTCTGCTTCAGTTTGAAGTGTTTGTCCTGTCACTACATGCTCAGAAAAGCATTCACTTGATTCAGATATATAATTTCGACTATGATTAAATGGTCGATTATATTGCCAGCTATGTTATTATTTGGTAGTCTCCTCACTACCAAGCACGACTTCAAAATTATGAAATCTGTAATATAAAATGAATTTTAAATTTATATTTTTGCATTATTACGTATAAAACAATTTCATCAGTTATTCCAGAGCCATAAATATATGCAGGTTGACAAAAATTAAAAAGCCTCCATCACAGTA